TATGTGAACACTTTCGAAGCTAACGTTAGCATGTAAAGCTGAAATGATTAAATGTATATAATATTGACAGATATTGAACTTAAATATTGAATTTCCATATGGTAAAAATACACACTGATATGCCTATATGCGGCAAAAAGGCTCATGTGCGCTAAATTTCAGACCGCTTGGTCTAAATCCAAATGTGTTCATTTTGTTGTTTTAGGTTAGAAGACAATGGGAAGAATTGCCATCGGACTAACCACAGCTGACAACCAGAGACGCACACACACACACGCGGACACGGAAAGACCACAACAACTTTACAGTTGTTCAATTAAAATAAACATATTTTGCTCCATACAACGTGTCTGTTGTCTTTGATTAGCCTAAAAGTAAAATAAAATGACATTCAGAGGACTTAAAGCGAAAGTCCCCTAAACGTCCCGAATGGCCGCTGCACGTCCTGTGAACGTTCCCTTGAACATCCGGAGGACGTCTTCGTGAATGTCCGCTCGACGTCAAGGGGACCCTACACACTGACGTCCGGGGGATGTTCGCAGAGGCCATTTAGGGGACGTCCTGGGGACCTTTTTTTGTTAGCTGGGCTGTTCTTCTAGTATTTAACTGCAGCGGCTGAAGCATCAGAAGTCTCACTCATTCACAGAAAACAGCTTACTTCCAAAACAAGGCAGATGAAGACTGTTTGATTGGCTTAGTGTTTGTGATTGTTTCTCTTCCATTTAGAGTCAGTGGAGATCAAACTGTTCAGATCCATCATGAGTGAAACACAAACATCTGGAGATGAAGATTTGTTTCCAGCACGCAGGTACTTTGAGAAACACATTAAATAACTTATGTTATAGAAGAGATGGCTGTAGGTAAAGCCATAAAGCCCCCATAAGAGCTTTTCATTAGTAATACCTTATGAAGATTTTATATTAAGATGATTCTCCTCCTAATGGATTAAATCTCTCTCTGTTTTAGCTCAGTTCATCAGACTATTACATTTCCAAAGTAACCTTCCCAACACTGGACCTGACACCTTGCAACTCTGACAAAGAGAGTTGACAAAATTAAACTAAAATATAAACCCATATTGGATTTTAAAGAGTATCATTCCTTAAAACAAAATCCCTTTTTTTTTACTGTGATAATAGAATGCAAAATGCAAAAGAATATTTATTTATATTATTATAATTTTTTTACTATAGTATAATAGATTTGAATACATTGTAAAATTAAGTTAATGTTGAATTATTCATTTTAATTTCTGGAAAAATAAAATAGGAGTAACTTCTGTAATTAAAAATGTCATCAAATCAGGAGTCTGTTTTCAGCATTTAAACATCAAAATTATGATGCCCTTCAATAATATAATTGAACATATAGGCTACAATTAGGTTTATGCACTCCCCGTGCATGAAGAAAATACGGTTGCATCCCAGGAGCTCTACAAGAATGTTATAGAGTGATTAATGCAGCCAAGGAAAACAAGAAGACAAGAAAGTGGAAAATAACACAGGTAAGACAAATAAATTAATTATTTCCATTTACATATTAAACTGTTGGAAAGCTGACAAGAAAGTTTATTTAGGAAAATTATTATATTAGTTATTGCATGTGCAGCTCAAAAAAAAAAATTAAAGTAGCCTATGTCCCAATGTGGCTATAAGCAAGCGTCGATCAAATGAGAAAAATTATTATTTTTTTTTTCACATGATCAAATGGCATCACTTTAGGGCAGCAGCATGTATCCATGGCAACGCTCAGCTGCGTAGTGGCAGTTAACGGTCCTCCGTGTTCCCTAGACATGCTTTCGTTAGTCGAAAAGGTATTTGTACTTTTATATTTGTAGACATAGCTACCGTAACCACTGTGTATCTCGTAATGCTTACATTTTATGAAAAGTTTACCTTTTTAAACGTTTGCTGAAGTTGTCCCGTACGGCTGCTGACGTTATGTGAACACTTTCGAAGCTAACGTTAGCATGTAAAGCTGAAATGATTAAATGTATATAATATTGACAGATATTGAACTTAAATATTGAATTTCCATATGGTAAAAATACACACTGATATGCCTATATGCGGCAAAAAGGCTCATGTGCGCTAAATTTCAGACCGCTTGGTCTAAATCCAAATGTGTTCATTTTGTTGTTTTAGGTTAGAAGACAATGGGAAGAATTGCCATCGGACTAACCACAGCTGACAACCAGAGACGCACACACACACACGCGGACACGGAAAGACCACAACAACTTTACAGTTGTTCAATTAAAATAAACATATTTTGCTCCATACAACGTGTCTGTTGTCTTTGATTAGCCTAAAAGTAAAATAAAATGACATTCAGAGGACTTAAAGCGAAAGTCCCCTAAACGTCCCGAATGGCCGCTGCACGTCCTGTGAACGTTCCCTTGAACATCCGGAGGACGTCTTCGTGAATGTCCGCTCGACGTCAAGGGGACCCTACACACTGACGTCCGGGGGATGTTCGCAGAGGCCATTTAGGGGACGTCCTGGGGACCTTTTTTTGTTAGCTGGGCTGTTCTTCTAGTATTTAACTGCAGCGGCTGAAGCATCAGAAGTCTCACTCATTCACAGAAAACAGCTTACTTCCAAAACAAGGCAGATGAAGACTGTTTGATTGGCTTAGTGTTTGTGATTGTTTCTCTTCCATTTAGAGTCAGTGGAGATCAAACTGTTCAGATCCATCATGAGTGAAACACAGACATCTGGAGATGAAGATTTGTTTCCAGCACGCAGGTACTTTGAGAAACACATTAAATAAATTATGTTATAGAAGAGATGGCTGTAGATAAAGCCATAAAGGAGAGCTTTTCATTAGTAATACCTTATGAAGATTTTATATTAAGATGATTCTCCTCCTAATGGATTAAATCTCTCTCTGTTTTAGCTCAGTTCATCAGAAGAGATCAGAAGCAGAGCCCAGCTGTGTGTCTATGAAGAGTGACCGGTCTATGGATCCGCCAGTGAAGTTTAAGAGTGGAGATACACGGCCTGGTCTCAGGTATAACATTTGTATAAAATATGATTATAACATGACATTTATATTATCATATAGGGATGGACGATATGACCAAAATCTTATATCACGATATAA